GTGAAGAAGGTTTATGACGATGCTTCTTTCTCTCAATCTTCCGATGACGCTAGAGGTGATACATCTCCATTGATTTAGTATGAAGATGTTCAAGCATGCATGATTGCAGCTAGAAAATTGTGAATAGAGGGCTTTGTGTGCGAGACTGCCATTGAGTTTTTTTTTATTGTTGTGGCCAATCAATATGAATGTAAATATCTTCTACCTATGAGTCAGTTTGGTATTAATATGCACTATTTCGATTGTCCACCGACAGACATGTCTTGTACGAAGGGTCGAATGTGGTGCTTCTTTGCTTCCGCTAAACATGCGCAAGTTATCAAACGGAATGTCTTTTGCAGCTCTACTTGATCAATTTTGGATCTTGATTTTGAGGCAGTCAAGATTGCTTACGTGTCAACTATCGGAAAAAGTGACTGGAGACATTGTGGATGGTGGTCTGAAGCATGCTTGAACTTCCACAAGCATGCTGTCAATGAGATTTTGTGATGAATGACATACTTTCCATTATTGAATTCCAATGTGAAGTACATTCTAGTTAGTTTATATCATACATAAAACACGCAACCAAATTCTAAGCGCAAGGGCAAAGACAAGTGTTTGAATGATCATCATCGTATGTAAATCATCAATTTCACTTGAAATGTCTTCCAGTATTCGTTTTCACAAAGCAAAATAGATTGATGATAAATTCAAAGCATCGTGGGACTCTTTTGTAAGATATTAACATTGACACAATTTAAACAGAATAAATTTGTTTGGAGAGATGATGAGGTTGACAAAAACAATATAGAGACGTTAAAAGCTTGAAGTACCTGTCTTCTCCGATTCATCAATATGATATAGAATGCGTTTACAACATGGACAAAACTGGATTGTTCTTTTGAGTTGTTCCATGATATACTACGTTGATGCCTCATAAAGATTTGATCACTATCTGGGCAAAAATCTGATGAAAGACATGATAACATTGATGGTGTGTTGCAACGCAATGGAACAAAACAAAAAGTCCTATTAAAAATGATTTGAAAGGCGAAATAGCCTGTTTACATGGTTTAAAATACTTGGCTCATTCTTTATTTTCATCAAAAAAAGCTTGGATTGATGTCCCAACAAGTGGTTTGATGAAATTTTTAAGTCTTATGTTCGTTGACAAAAAGGACACAAAGTGTTTTTGCTCCTTGATGATGCTCGTATTACTAATCTTGAGCGCAATGACATTTGTGTTGCCTTCTTTCCGCCTAATGTCAACTCTTGGAAGCTATCAATGAATATGGATATGAGTATCAACACAACTAAATAAAGCGATACAAGTATCTTCTATTAAAGTAATTTTTTTTCTTGTTATGATAATCAAGAAGAACTTAAAGACAAATTTGCATTAGCACCTTTCAAACTCAAACAAGACGTTGTTGGATTTGCTTATGGAAGATCTTCACACTTGCTTGATGTTGCAAACTTTGCAAATATTACTTGGAACAACATTTCTATTGATAGTATCAAAAGGTACTTTTAAAAAACAAATGATATTCTTGGATTTGATAGTGACGATAATATTGGCTGCGACAATGATCACTATCAATAACATTGCTAAATTGTTAAATAGTTGTAACCTTGTTGGTGTTTCTAGTGAGAATTGTTTGAATGATGACAACAAGGATTTACAATTGTATCAAGAAATTTTGATTGAGTAAATAAAAATGATATGAATGCTATTTTTTAGACTCGATTGTTGAATCCGAAGAGTATGAACTTGAACCTGGTCAGAACGACTCTGATATGGATCAACGTGATATGATTTTTCACACAATGGTGAGTGTTATTAAGCTTGACATTGTAATGGCCAAGTTAAGATGTTCCCTTTATATGAGCAGATTAATAAGGCTAAGGAGATTCATTTTAGACTTAGTTGCGTTCTACAACATGTTAGCTCCGTCATCACCCACAAATGAACTGAGAAGAAGAGACAATTGACCATGTTTGATTTCAGATGATAATAAACCTAAACAGGTTTGATACTTGAATTTTTTGAAAAAAATGCAAACTTGAGCGAATGTATATTCATTCAATCCTGACTTTTCCCCTCATTCTTTGCATTGTAAACTTTATTATTATTTCTAAAATTCTCTGATAAATTCATTTCTAATTAAAATTCAAGAAATGCAACAAGAAACATTGAGATTCTCAACCCAAGCTAGAGCACACAAAAATGACCTGACTTAACCAAAAGTATAAGAACACAAAATTAATTTATTATGTTTGTTCAAGGACGATATGTCCTTTGACTTTATTTATATATATATATATATACTGATAGCTAAACCTAGGGTTAACTTTAACTTAATGTTAATTAGGAACTAACTCGAGTTAGTACGAAACAAAAGTTAACAAAACAATAGAGACTAAAATAAAAACTCGAAATAAAAGAAGCTAATAAATAATTAAGACACCATCTATCGAGTTCACTAAGGCAATAAGTTCTGACCATAACTAAATTCACAGAAAGAATCCTCCAGAGTACCGTGTTGTGCACTGAATCAAAGTAGAAAATCCAGATATTCACACATCGCATCACATGTGCTCGACATTGTCAATTGTGAATGGCCCTTGAGTTTCAACAGTCGTCACGGTAGTGATCCATTCCACACACTTAACGCAATAACGCATACACAGTATTCATGATTCTTTCAATCGTCGCAGGAGCTTCATGGTTTCATCACAATAGCTCAATCGAGCAGACATAGGAGCACTCCTTGCTCTTTGAATGATGCATATTACAACGTCATTTACATCTATTTACAATTACTTTAGCACGTGACTGCGACACCAACCATGTCGTGTCCATTTGCGGAAGGCCAGCTATGAAAGGTTACTGGGTTCGAGACGGAGAGTTCATCATTGCTATGGCCTGTAGTAGCCAAGGACGGTGTACGCTGTCTGAATGCCGGTCATGGCCAGAAGGATGGTGGCGGCTAATAGCGAAATCATAAGCCACGGCCTGTCTTTAAGCCTGCCGAGGAAGCGCTCGGCCTCGTGCCGGATTCTTCCGAAATTTCTTATGCAGATGTTTCTGAGCTCGTTCTCGAAGAGAAAACTCACGTCGTAATGGAGATTCCGCAGGTCGGCCGTGTACTGGATATCAGTACTGGAATAGTTTTGCAGCAGATTGTTGAACAGATCAGCGACTTGCTGGTCGGCATCGTCTCCTGGCAGAGAGACGGAGAGAACAGAGCTCTGAAGCTGTCTCAGTAACCTCACATCGTCCGCGGTGTCGATCAGATTGTCCAACACCGAGAGGTAGCCGATGAGCTTCTGGCTGTCAAGGGGTGTCGTCTTTGCGAGCTCATAAGCGCACAGATTTCTCAGAATCCTTTTCGTATCGACTGTCACGTGGATCTTCGGTAGCGACAGAACTGCCGTGAAATGAAACGTCGACCTTTCGAATGCTGTGCCCGTGACGCCAGCATCGATGCCCTTCACGCGGATGCCTGCTTTCCGCAGCTCCGATGCCGTCCTAAACTGCTTCTGTACAGATCCAGGTTGCGATTGCGGTTCCCCTGTCCCGGACGAAGTTGTGGCATGTTTCGTGCACGATCCACAAATACGACCGCACGTTGTCCAACACTCGTTAGGACTTGACAATCGTTCAGTGTGCTGAGGACTTACGTTCGACTCGACAGGTGGGCACATGGTAATATAGAGACATTCCAGTAAGTGCGTGCAATCGAGAAATCGAGGAGGGACATCAGCACGTGCACAGGGAAGTTTGAACCTACGGAGGGCCTCGTCGACAGTGGCTTTGATGAGAGCTTCTGGCGATGGAGCATCCTTCACCAAATTCAAAACCTTCCCTATGAGCTTAAGAGGAATCTGGTTCGGAACTACCCAGACGTCAGAGAAGATCTGGTGAAGATTGCAAGCAACACCCACCTCGGTGAAGATGTGTCGAAGTTTTTGGAGCTGCTTCAGACCTCTCTGGGGTTCTGGCAGCTTGGAGTATATCTCGATACAGAGGAACATCGTAAGGAATACAGCATCCAGAGTAAGACTAGACATGGCGCTCGAAGCATCCAAGTGTCTATCTCTCAAAGTTTCATCGTAGAGGTCTAGGAACGTATGTGCGTTCTCTTCTGAGCCCACCACCTTCTCGCAAAGTACATCCCACCTCAACTCAAACAGTTCCATGAAGCTGTTAACGACATCAAACCTCACTCTGTCCATGGCAGTCATCTTCACCCTGCTCCTCGTATACAATCCCAAATTAATGATCTGCACGCGATAATCCTCACTGCCAGCAGCATTTAGAATCCGTAGGGGAACCGGGCTAATGCATGCCTTTCCGCGACCACCCTGATCCCGATCATTCGCTTGCCTTTTCTTATGGCACCCTTTTTAATCTCGTCAGGAATCGACAGAATCCACGGTGCCGGCTGTACCCTCGCTGCCGACAGTTCTAGTCTAGAACTGCTCTCCATCGTGAGCTCAGTGTACGAAAGGAAAGCTCCTCTCCTTCAGAATGAGCTCATGATGAAACAGAGAAGAGTCCTCTTGGGTCAGCTCCAAATTCAGGGCGATTTCAGTACGAATTCGATCTCACTGACTGTGATCTATGACGTCTCGATACAAGCGGGTGCATTGGCTTCGAGCTGCTCATGTGCTCGGTTTGTTCACTGCCTGTGGTCGGTCCTATCCATCTCATGCTCCTCCGACGCCTAGGGCAACTGGAACTCGTTGACCCAGACCGTGGCTTACTAGACGCGACATGAACATAGATACTTTCACGTACATACGGGCATGTCGACCTCCAAATCCTTGTCGCAAAGTACGTACTATATTGGCCTTGACGTTTTCAATATGAATTTACGACACCCTGAGAGTGAGGAGTAGTTGCGAGAGGTGGGACCTCAGCTTTTTTCACTGTGGATTTACGATGCCCTGAGAGTGAGAGTGGCGAGAGAAGGGACCCCACCTTTGACTAAAGTGACATGCGGGAAATCTGGTTGGAATCTCTCGTCCTTTTGCGTCAGCATTGTACAGAGCTCAAGCTCGCGATGCATAGCACGTGAAAAAGTAAAGAGGTTTGAAAACTTCAGGCTACACTTAGTTTGCGTGGGCCATATCAAAAGGTCTACACGACTACTCAAACTTTGGTAGTAGACCAGACCTGAGAACCAGCGTTGCTTCGATTACCAGATTCCAACACGACTTTCTCCTTTCTTTGGCTGTGACGCATCATGACAAGTGCGATGGTCCGTCACTGATATCCTAGTCGTTGAACGACGTTGTCCAACTGAGCAGAGGAAGATCAGCTTTTGCTTCTGTACGGTTCTTTAAGCTTGATGAGAAGGAATCGCTCAAGACTCGGCTCGAGTGCAACTGACACGAAATGGGCTGTTGGGGTCTGGATTCTTGAAGGCTGCAGGGTATACATGTGGTGGTCGTGGTACATTTTGTAGAAGCTTCTTTCAAATATGTTCCTCTTGCTTAAACACTGCTGGCATATGATCTTGCTAAACGCTGACATTAAGCCACCTTCATCGAACATGAGAGAATCCGCGAGGTGTTTCGTGTTGTCTCGTTCTTCTTAAGATGATCTTTAAAACTACCTCTAATTTTTTTCGTTCCTCTTCTAGGCAATAACTTTAAGCTAGGTCTAAAATATCGTAAATTTGTATAATCGCTGGTTGCTTTTTCCTTCTCTGTTTTAAGCTCCGCCTAAGGGGCCCCGTGAGAGTTCAAGCTCATTCCCATCGTCCACCGGAGGTGCGTTCAAATTCACTGCTGCTGTTGATGGTACAAACACACTAGAAATCAATGACGCAGTGCTTGCTCCTCTTTGTATCAATCAGCAGGCTTAAATTGCCAAATATGTGCTTGTAAAGTTGCAGTCTCTGTAAGAGTGTGTGATGAACGACGGTACAAAGGCACCGATCAACAAGAAGACTCTTGATGGGATCGAGGTTCAATGCTGCGATAAAAGATTTGAGAAGCCATTTTGCAGAATGGCAGGCTCTGTCGAAGTTGTAGCCCATCATCAGAGGCCGGACATCTTCCTCCGTGTTCCACCAAGTAATTCATGCATTGCAGGTAGCTCATGAGGACATGCTGCTGCTGATCACGAGCGGTACCAGAGCTCCAAGGGGACTCAAGCGCAACCAAATTTCTCAGGATACTCTCGGTGCTGTCCTCAATGTGTAGCAAAAGAGTTGTTGTGAAGCGAAAGAGTTGCCTGCAGATAAAGTCTAATAGCCTCATGAACTTCAAGGTACAGCCCCGCACTTTGTCTCCCACTCCCACTACATTTACTCCTGCTTTCTTAAGGTCTGAAACTGGAGGCGGGTGAACCTTGGGTTTGTGCTGTGGAAGAATCGATAAATCCTCTTTCGAAATTGAAGCTTTCAGCAGCTGCGCGATCCATGAGGTTAGAGAATTAGAGGAATGAAGACAAGGGATCTGACTAGTGCTACACCTTTTATCAACTCCTTGTCGTCCGATTAGACATTCTAGCAGATGTTCACAGTCATGGAAGTTGACTTTGTCCTTCCTGACTAACATCACTTTCGAGTTAGAGCAGTCTCCTGAGACTTGGGATAATATGTTGGCTATGGCAACTTTGACAGCTTTGACAAGACGCCTCATTTCCGTATCATCTGCTTCAGCTTCGTCGATATTCAATATGTAATGCGGATTGGAAACTTCACCGTCCTCGAGGTTGGGCAACGAGCTCGTAGTGTCTCTACGTGGAATAAAAGTGAGTTTCAAGACGTTTCTGAACAGACTTGGAGGAATCTGATGTTCCAGAAACCGCAAGTCCGATCGTTTCATCTGGCCATTTGCATGGGACTCCTCGTCTCTAGAATTTCATCCTCAGTGGTGAAAACCTAATCAAATGTGAAAACAGAATCTCGATTTCATATGCTTTCTCAGACTTCTTGGACTCATCCTGCGTGGAGTTGCAGTCTTAGTACATGTAAAGCATGAAACTGACCAAGATATCTACCTCTAAGTTAGCAGGCGCCCAGCTTTTTAGGATGCATGAGAAAGACATCATCGTACAAGCCGATAAGGCCGTCCAATTCTGCAATTGGAAGCACTCCAGTACATATGTGTTCATCGTCAATATCTATGATCTATATGAAATTCTCTGCCACTTCATTACTTGGTTGGTCAAGTCTCTTTGCCTTCTTGCGTTTGATATGCTTGGGAGCAAGGCTGACTGAGTCCACAACCTTCCGATGCTGTTGCTGGCATTGGTGTCAGTTAAATCCTGAGGTTTATTTTTTAGTTTCAACCTGTGTTTCTGAACGTGGCAGTACACAGTGAACCAAGGTGGCAGCACACTCTGCTACTTACGTGTCACACTTCTGGGTGTTGGTTCTTCTCCGTGTTGTTTTTCTATATATGTACTTAGAGGTAGACGGAGTACCTTTGCAAGAAAAGTAAAAAAGCACAGGTTGAGTCTGATCGAGAAGGCAGTTTTCTCCTTCTGCAGATAGTGCACGAGAGAGCGGAGACGAGAGTATAGAGTTGCAGGTTTCAACAGTGATTTGCCACAGGCGAGAGGAAAAATCAGTTCCTAATAGCAACGTGTTAGTTTTTGTTCATAGTAGCAACTTGATCATTCTGCCGAGCATGAGCATACAGTAGCAGTAGCATGCAGATTCAACAGAGAGACTCAGGGCTTTGATACGGTATGCACAGTTCCTGTAAATCAATGTGAAAGCAACCGTTATAAATACATCCAAATGTGATGTGAGAAGAGGTGACAGTGACACCAAAGTTGGCTTCCACTACGAGAGAGTCGAACGAATTGAGTTGAGCTCTGTTGTATTGTGCTATGTTCTGTTGTGTTGTGTCATTGTTGAGTTGCAAGTCTATCAATTGCTGGTGCAAGCCAGTTCCAGTTCAGCCGGTGCAGGTTAGCTCGAATTTCAGGTTCCAGTGCTCGCTTGCAGATATTGTATCAGGTCCAACCGGCGACTCTCCGTTTACTTTCTATCGTGACGATCAAACGAAATGATGTGGTTTGACCGACGGATTGGAGCTAGAACTTGACACATTGACTTCCTCCATTGACGCCTCTCGGCCTGTGGTCCATGTGCTTGAGCTCCATCGCCTCCTTGTGCAAGAGCTCTCGCGCAAAGTGAGGTCCACCAGCAATCTTGTATTTCAACATTATGTAGATCAGCTTCTGCCGGACCATTACGACTGTGACCATTCTTGCAGGCTATGTCGGGACTGCTTCTGTAAACTGAACATCAAATTCATCACCTGGGTCGAGCCAAAACTCTCTTCGTGGACAAAAGCTCAATCAAGTAAAGAATCTGTTAAGACGAACAAGCCCATCGCTACATCACTTCGTGGAATCTTGTACTAAATAGTACAAGAATCCACGAACTGCTGGAAATATATAGAATCATGTGTTACTCCGGTGCATCAGCTGAGAAAAGCAAGTAGGAGTCGGAGTGGATTAAGCTATGCCCCTTACCTTAATTTAATCCACTTCGACTCCGAGACTTCTTGTGCTATTCTCGAAGTCAGTGTTTGATAACAACAACCTCTCCGACATTGTACGTCCCAAGCCGACCGGAAGGCCTTAAAACACCAGGTCTTAAGGATCCGCCATCGATAGAGTCGGAGATCAATCGTGTGCTACTTGCCTTTTTTGATCGATGCTCTCTAATGTTGGTTTGAGTTAATGTTCACGCTCAACTTTCTCGAGGTCGTCTAAAAAAATTTAAAGTTTGGCACCGCAAAATTCTTGAAAAAAAATCAAGAATATTGCGGTGCTCTTGTTTCTACGATCTCACCCTGGTGTATTTTGTTGGGTCCACGTCGTTCAAGGGCCTTGAAGATTCTGAATGTTAAGTACTCATTTCCTAAGTCGTGAAAAAGTAGAACGGACATACTAGTAGCAGAGAAACCTTGATAACTGGACGCGTGAATAATCCTTCTTCCACTCGATCAAGGTGAGAAATATCACATTCTTCACAGCGCCGGTTCTCAAATTCTTCGCAGCTGAGGCCACCTTTTCTAAGGAATAATTACTTTTTTTTGGCCTCCGAATTCTTTCTCCCTCGCCTTCTAACACGACGGTAACAGATCGCACCGGTCGTGGGTCTTTCCGTCCGAGTGCGACAGAGGGCGCCGCCGACGTCGATGACTGTCCGAACCTCCCCCGGCTCACGAGCGCACTTGCCCCCCAACGGCCACCCCCCACCCCTCCACACGTGACTCATGGAGGCCCTCCCTTGACTTGGGCGCTTGTCCCCATGGGGCTCCCAGCGTCTTTTGGTCGGCGCCGGTGCTACAACCAGTCTCCCCGATCTCATGTTGACCTGTACCGAATTTAGTCTAACCTTCGTTGAGGATTAATTATTTATCATGAATGTAGGCGCTTTGTGAATGTGAACTTTATTACATATTTGTAGTGCTCCAAATGAACATCCACTGTAAATGAAAAATTCGATTACTTATACGCACGATTTCTTATAACAGGCTATCAGCTAAATCAACTTAATATAGTCGTCTTTTCAAAATTAATTTAGGCGATAGTCACATTTAGTCGAGATTGAAGTTCAGTAAACTAGAATTGAAAATTTTATTCTTGCAAAGAGTGATGTATATTACCAATCAATAGATTGATCTATAATCAACATGCGAGGTCGCTCCTAAGTGATCACAATTTGCAAGTGACTCGATTTGCATATACTGTTTCGCCTGCAGCACATTTTCAAATCCAAAGTCTGAAAGATTCATGCGGTGATCACCTTTCTCCCACCTCAAAACAGACAAGTCAGACTCCACTATACTAATTCCGGAAAAAATAGTTGCAATGCCACCGCAAAACTTGACCAAGTTGGAAACCGAGCACTAAGTAAGGTCCAAGCATTGTCAAAGGATGTCTTTTGGTTACAGCCATCTATGCTCTCCTATTGCACAAGCTCATTGCACTAAGTTCAAAAAAGAGCTTTATACTGGTTAGCAATGACGACTATTTGTGTTGCCAAGTAGCGTAGTTGTATGCAAAAGCTATGTCTACAAGCCTTGTGAATAAAGTCTGCAGCGGAAGCGCGAACAAGCTCTTGCGGTAAAACACGTGGTAGCGCGAGTGGATCACCGAATTGAATGTTGTCTGCATCGCGCTGCACAACGATTCTCTCAATGCGAGCACATGCTTCGACGAAAACTAGACCAACATCTTGCAACAATTTGTTACGCTCCGTCTCATCGGCAGCGTTGAGACTGCCTTCAATCCACGATGCGAGTGCGACAATAAATTCTTGCACGTAGCGACCCCTGATGACATGCGTCGTTACATCCATGACAGATTTTGTTACATCCGTGACAGATTTCATTTCATCTGTCAGCGGACTATTAATACTCAAATCTTTGATGAATGTACCAACGAGACCGTCGAGCTCCACCTGCTGTTGCAATTTTAGAGTCGTTAGGTCTTGAATCTTGCAAAAAGTTTTGGCGATGTTCATCGTGAAGGGATCCATGGCAAGAAGTTACATCAAAGTACATCAAAGAAGGTATATCAAAGTCGAGGCGGGGCACTCGCAAGCTGCTTCAATTCCATGTAAGCTAGGAGCTCAGGTCAGTGCTTTTAGAATCAAATTGTAACCTTGTCTGTAGAAAGCCATCGGTTCACAACACAAGGACATGTCGTACTCAAATCTGCGATCAGGTTCTGTTGTCGCGTGAGATGCAAAATGAAACCCGTCATCATAGAGAAGAAGCGCTCCTTCACAACTACATTCATAATGTGTTGCATAAATAGATTGAGCTTGATGCGCTTTACATCAGATTTGAATCAAATCACAATCATTATGAAGTTCTACCTCAAGCCTTGTCACGATGCCAGTGACACGTCCGGTCATATTTTGAGCTCCATCGCTCAACACGCTGAGAAGAGAAGTCCTCTAATGAGGACACAATACGTCAAGAAACTGAGAAATCATGTTGAACATGACTTCGCCTGTGTGTCGTTTGAAAATCAGCAATGCCCATCTGCGCAAGTTGACATTCTTCACATACACTTGAAGACGAACATCCAAACATGATATAATCTAGTGCAATGCTGATTCCATTGCTAACAAAAAAGCCCAAGATTTCTTCAGCAACTCTAATAGGCGTTCAAAGTTGGCAGCACAAACTACCCTATCGAAGCTGATGACATTTTCACAAGAGCAAGAACGTAGTGACGGAGCATATAAGACTTGATATGACTCGCCGATGATATTCGTTGTCATGCGGAACAATGCTCCACACATGACGTATGGAATGGCAAGGTTGAAGAGCTGGGTTTTGGATTTTGCGATTGTAACAACAAAGGAAGAGTGCACTTTGTCATCATTATATGCTGGCTCACTGCGTTTAAAAAGTGTCATTGCTCACTCATTTGGCTTTACAGCACTGGCACTAAGGTTAGTGATAACAATTGCACGTTTGGCCTCACTCCCAAATGCAAGCTCTTGCTCGTCGTCATCATCAACATGACTAGCATCATCTTCTCCTAAATACATCATCTCACCGAGGATTACTTCAACAATGTCTTTGTCGATGATGAAGACAATCTCACGATTGCCCGTAGTTTCAAAGACAAAGTGAGCCCTGCGAGTGCTTCTGAAAGCGACTTCAACGTCATCAAAGAAATGTTCCTGCTTCGCTTTCGAACGCAGCTTTTCATACTATCTAAATTTGACAATTTGTTGCTTCTTCATGTGAAGCTCAATCTTGTCGTAGCAAAATGGTGCACTCCACCTTGCACGTTGATCGTGAGCTTGCGCTTTGCGCCAACATTCTTCTCACGACCAAACATGATGTAGAAAAGACACTACATCCCGCTAACAGCTGAAGTAAAAGCACAACGTGAGACAACTTTCAAATCATATTTAGCATCATTGACCCTGACGTAGGCAGAGTTGAGCTTGTTCTTCCACATTAATCTTGAAACGAGAGCAATCTAATGGGAGTATGAGCATGGTGCGCAAGGGCCTAAATTTAGACGTCTCACAAGAATTATTTTAGGTAATTTAGACGCCAAAAACTCTAAACACATATTATAAGGAGTCTTGCTTATATGGTAGAAAGAATCATATTCTTCATCACTTTCAAGCATCACTTTCAAGCAAGAAGCGAGTTTCTTTGCATTTTTGCTTTTTACTCTTCGGGCTATCAGAACCCATAGACACGTGGGAGATGACATCTCTTTCTCTTGCTTCAAGCCATTACTTTTGACAAATATGAAGCATTAATATGGTCAGTATTTCTTCATCTACATGCAATGTGAAATGATCTTTTTTACTCCACTCAAAGAGGAGTAGCGAATCACGGTCCGTTGTATTGTTGCATGTTCCATTCATCTTCTTATCGATGAATTCCATGGCTTTGCAGGCATTTGATAGTGAACCGGTACATGGTGAAGAGACTCTCAACACTTGTTAGTCAACTGATTTTGACACTCTTAGAGAATTGTTACTCACTATAAGTTGGAGGTTGACGCAATTACCTTGAGGTTTAAATGGTTCGCCAAAACATGGCTCAACTTCAAATTGGTTGCTAGACTGAATGCCACACATCATAGCTCTCCAATGCTAATGTTCATTTGGTAATCATGTGAAGAGTTTTCGGAAGAGAATTGTGCTTTGTTGCGCTTTCGCATTCAAATTTTATCCGTTTTCATCTCACAGTCAACGCAATGAATGTTTTGGGTAGTAAACTCAAGAGCAAATCTACATGATTCACACATATCTAGAGAGTTTAGGATGGTAATTCAAA